GTCATGAAACAATATATAAACTCATGAATAAGAAATGGTATTTTGATTAGATTAATTCACGATATGTGACATTTTTTGTTAAATCCGTTATTTCTATGCATTTTTAATGACTTGTTTCACTGTATGTCCTGGAAATGGTGTTGATAAAGAAATAATGTAACTTTAAATGAACAAGTTAGAACAAAATTTATCAAGGTTATTAAACAATACAATTTCTTGACAAACACTTACATCTACAAAATGCCCGCTCCAGCTTTAATATATTTAAGGAATAACTGTCTTATTTTTTGGATTCATGATGTGATCAATCGAGTGGCTTGCGTGATAATTTGCATAAACGCCGAAGGCGTTTATGCATAAAATTATCACGCAAGCCAATCGATTGATCATCGTCATGAATCCAAAAAATCTGACAGTTATTCCTTATATTTACATGCTCCTGATTCTGCAAATTCCCGTGCTAATAGCCCCGCTTCTGTCTCTATTTGTCCCGCCCCGCACGTGATTTTTTTTAACTGCGCCTATCGATGAACCAGTAGATTTATGTAGAAATAAAGTATTTTTACAATTTGTAATTTTATCTCGAACAAAGACATTGGAAATGTAAATATAACTCTTTAAATAATGAAAATCGAGCATTTTGAAAATAACAATATGTCCAAAACTGTACCAGTCATATATTGTGAGCTGACATAATAAGGGATTTGAAATAAAGCATCTCTTAAATATTGCTGTATTCTCTTTGTCTGCTCATGCAGTTGACCCTGTCTGTTGCATGCCAGATAAACTTCTTAACATGTTGGTAAAGATGAAAAGTAAAGGAACATTGAAATATACACTTGTAATTGAATTGATTTTAAAAACAGAAGATATATTCTATTGAAAAATTTCAGCATTTACTGTAGAAAATGAAGGGATTAATTTTAAAAAAAAAAATGTATAAACTTTGTTACCTGTCAATGGTAAAATCACGTTAAATCATGTTACCTGAAGAAATTGTAAAAGAATTGAGACAAGGCTTTGAATTAATCTTTATTTTGTGTTTATGACCTTACACATATTGACCAGACCATAAAATCCGCTTGATCACAACAGCTAAAATTGCTGATCCATGCAAACTACCTCTATTACTTTTCATCTTGGAGACTTCTGGATCAAAAATTATTTGCGGTTTGCTCATAAAGTCCATTCAGCGGGAAAATTAACTCAATTTATTGTCGACCGTACAACTTGTATCAAGCAATATAAATGGAAACAACAGAAATGTATCGTTCGATCGTCGACCTTTTTTCTTTCAAATAATCAATGTTTGTTTTTACTTTCAAATGACATTTGTATGTTTAACGGTTTCAAACTGCAGATATTGACAATTTGATGGAAATCTTTTGATTAATTTCGTGGAAGAAAATAATATAAATTAGTCCAATAAAGACTGGGAAAATGTTTTTCTTCATACCTTATTACCTCTAATAATGTCCTTAAAATCGAATGTTGAACCCTGCAAATTTAGAAAAGTGCACCTTATTTGTGTTATGCACATCCTGTTTTGTACGTGTACCTTGACATTCAAAGATATATAGGTAAATTCTACTTTTATTTCATTCTTTTGGGTATAATAAGAGTCCGTATTGCTGAATTCCTTTCTTTAAAAATACAAAATTTACAGATAGGTTTTAAAGATTTTTATAATAGGAAAATAAATCATTTGCATAAAACAAGTAACTTAACCCACTCTCTTGCTTCTCTTAAATATTTTCACAGCTTTTTGTAGCTAATAAAAATGCCGGAAATAACCTTATTCAAATTAAATTTTAGGCTACCGGGTAACATGCGTCTTTTTGTGATTTGATAAAATTCTTCGCACACACTTTATACACTACAGTAATATAAATGTTCTGATTGTCAGACCAACTGCTGGGTTTGTGTGTCGTTTGTGTGTACCTTTATATGTGCAGGTGAGGAACCTTTGAACTGTTTTGTTCGAGGGTCGTTTCATAATCGATTCAAATTGAAAAAAATTAAATCTAACCGTTGTGTATCTTCGTTCTGTCAATGACAAATCTAGCAATTTTATTGCTCAAATCTGGGGTTGTAATTATTGTTTTGTTGTCTGTGGCAGTCCATTGTGTGTCGATAAATTGCTCCCAAACATTACATGGGGCTTTGTGTTAGGGCTGGGAAAATACGACATTCCCTCGATCCATTTCAAACACTGAATGATTTGGGGAACAATTAATCTAGCCTGGTATTGTTGTTTTGGAATAAGAGATTGGGATGAGAAGAAAAAGACATGTAATTAAATTAATACTGCTCCTCTGTTCTTTAATAAGATTTCAAGAGATACAAAATTTGAAATTTCAGCTGTACATCTAGACTGAATAAAGTTCGCTGAAAAATGCGTGTTAGATTTTATTGACTATCCACGCCCTATCTGAAGGTTAATGCACAAAATAAATTCAGATTTGAATTTTCTGTCACGCAACAATGTAAACAAAAGAATCGTTTGCATCGCTAATTTTGCATTGATGTCCATAATGCCATTTCAGTGGAGGGAACTTACCCATTCATGGCCGATCTTTCGTGTCATAATTAGCCACATATTTGTCAATTTTATACAGAAATCTCGTGCAAAATCGCTGATTTTCAACGTGATAGAAGTTGATTAGGAACTGATTTGCTAAATAGTTGGATTTCCACAAGGATATATTTTTAATTGGTGGCAAGTCAATTTGATAAGTTGGTTTTAATGTACAGTGCATTATAAGATAACGGTTTCCAGTTATTACGTGTGAAAACTAGAGCAAAAATTACTATATTTTCTATACTTAAAAGATCAATTAATATGAAATATTGATATATATCACTTAAATATTGTCTGAATTCTTTAAATTCGATACAATAAATAGTAAACCTCCATTAATTTCTGAAGGTTTTTATATTATACCTTCTAGTATTTTAAAAATAAATGCTACAATTATCCAGTGTAAAAATGCGAACTCATCACACAAAATATAGGTTAGTCCTATAGGATAATTACACGTTGAGTATGTGCATTATTTACGTAATGTTGTACCATTCGCTACCATCTTTAAAGACAACATTGAATTACTCTCAGCACAACACCACCCCGAAAAGTGTCACCAGACTTAGAATGAAGTCTCTTTGATGCCACCTTTGAATATCACTGTCATATTTTATCAGATGCACTATTAATTACATTACACTTTCAACTGCCAAAAAGGTCGACTACGAATAAGAGGGTGGAATCGATGATTACATCAAACACACGCACAAATAGGTCGAAGTTCTTTCTACTGAAATGTCCATATTAGATCACATACTTTTGTCAGAAAACATGGGGGAAAATCAAAAGATATGATTTGAGATTAACAAAGATAAGTTATGTCACAACCAAGTCTTAGAGTTGATGAAAAGTAATTTAAACAATCCGGGAACATAAAAGCCACCTAAAGCCAGTGACACCATTTTCTTTTTATTGAGTTACAAGTGTTCTCTTGAGCTGAACTGAAAGGAAAACCGTGTTTTCCTTACATTATAAAAACCGCTAGAAAATATATTAAGTGGCCATAAATTCTGTGTGCATATATATTCTTTTATCTAAACGTAAATCTACTTATCTGGTTAACATGACAAATACGGCATAAACAAAATTTTCCCTCTTGGTTCGACTTTTTTTTAGGCAAAGAATATTTGATACCCAGTCGTATTATACCATTAGCATGAACACTTTTACGAAGAATGCTGAAACTCATATTTAATTAATTCATTTAATTCATTTAATAAGTGAAATATGACGCTATGTTTCAATATTGCGTTAAGGAGACACGAGTCTGATTTCCATATTCATTTTTCACATTCAGAATTCATGGGAATTCTACCGTTTTATGAGGTTATGATGCCATGTGTGTCATCAAAAAACTGAAAAATCAATTTGAACATCAAAGAATATTCTTTTTTCCCCAAAAAATACCGTATTTTACACTTAACCGTCATTTATTGCTTTGCTCTTTTTTATTATCACTTCATATTGATGTTGGGAAATTTATTTGATCACAGATTAATATGATATTCATCAATTATTGAATTCCTGAATTATGAAGATTATAATTCAGAACCACATAGGATTAGTTGTGATAATTAACGTTCGTAAGTTACAAGCTCGCGTAATGCGAAAGCTTCCCATAAATCAGAAATAGAAACTACCAATATTTGGAAATAAGTGTGAAATGATAAAAGAAACATGCAAGATTAACCCAGGTATTGATAAATCTCTTCCAAGGAAAGCCTTCTGGATACGTGATACAGAATGGTTCTAATGAATATTGTATACTTTTGTAGAGCTTTTTTTTTATCATTGATTGTGACGAGAACTTCAATATCATATGTCTTGGAATGCAAATCAATTTCTTACAGTGAAAGAGGTATTGGCAAATTGGATTTTTTGTTGTAATTTTCATTAATACAAGAACTAGACAGCTACATGGCAGCGTAAACAGTCTTAAAGAAAAATTAATAAAATTTAGATTGTAAAGTTCAAAATAATGTTCTATTTCATTTCGTTTATGTACATGTATATAAAGAAACCAGGTAACTATTCTGAAGACCTTGTGTAATTAAATGTGTAGTGATGTTTAAGCTTATGTAACGGTCTGCTAATTTATCAGCCCATTCAATTTTAAATTGAAATATCTTACGGCAAAAAAGAGAGGTATGTTAAACTGCGTCCCGCTTATACTTAGTGTTAGACCGATGAAATGATTCACCTAGATGTTTATTTACTTTTCGATTAAAACCGCAGATAGCTATTTCTTGTACAAATTGCATTGCGTAAGGGTTACACAAACTTATTTACTTTTCGACACGACCTGCAAATTACCTCTCGAATTTACCTTTAAAGATTTCGCAGCCTTTTTAGGATACGGTTCAGAATTTTTTTCCCTTTTTTCAGTTTGTTAAAAAATTCCAAATCAGCATTTTTTTTCAAAATAGGTTTATTGCACAAAAACCGTTAATAATAAAACACAATATCAGTATGTTTGCACACAAAATAATTAAAATTCCTGTTATAAATATACTGCCTTTGTTTTGCATTTAGCCACCGGGTTTACAGAATGTTTTGATGGCATGAAAGAACTACAAGTAGTAGAATGAGGTACAAATTCTCTTTGGCTGCGAGGTGCAAAAGAGTCATTTTTATGAGGTTCGGGCTCGCTATTCCAAAATTCGCTATCAGAGCATCGTCCCGAGTCATGACTGTCGGAACTCCGACAACTTTTGATATCCTCCTGTAATTTGTTATTATTAATAACACTAGATTTTCTTGTGTGGGAAACCTCTTGATTTTGAACTTGATGCAAACGAACCGCGTTTCCATCAGGATCGGTAGCTATGAATGAACTGTCACTTATTTTATCCACGGTGCATCCAGTAAATGTTTTAATAGAATCCACATTTGTCACTTTGAATGTTAAGAATGTTGTTGATATTGGGTAGGGCTCGATGAATTTAGAGTATTTTAATGCTATCTGAATATCTACCCCTGGATGGGAATACATTTGAAAAATACAGAAACCAGGTTTATTACTTTCCATCTCACAGTCAGTAATCACTCTATAAAATTCCACCATCTTCTCAAAACTCTTCACGTAAATAAGAACCCTGAGATGCTCGTTTCCGTAGTGAACAGGACAAACAGACCATAGTGGCATGTCATCTGCTATTCCATAGAATTCCTGGCAAGCTGCGGTCCGTTCTGGAGAACGCACATTAAAAAGTTCAACTTTATGATGGTATTCCCAAGGAGGCATGAGAAAACTTTTCTGGACATCTTTCGATGACACAGTGCCATTTTCAGCTAAAAATAAAATGACACTAATAGCAGGTGCTCTTAAATATTCCACCTCGCACTGTTGTGAATGTTCTTGAAGATATATACTATTTCGAGGTTGATTCCCATTTTCCTGAATGTTTAGGAACTCGAAAGATGGATCAATCCATTTTATTAGTGGATGAAGAATTTTCTTCAAGAGCTTTCGTTTTCCCTTTGGCACTGAAATGCACAGTTTGCATCGAAACGGGTCGAATATACCATTCATATCCGAGTTCTCCTGTTGGTCTAGTTTATCAAAAGTCATTTATAAATTACTTTGAATATTTATTTTGCACGAGGACAGTGAAACATCACTATGATAAATAAATAGGACAATAAATCTATCATTGAGGTAAGCTTGTTGCAGCATCCATCAAGCTTAGTATGCTTTTAAGACTTTTCTCAACAGCATTACTGAAACAAGCATATCGATCAGGTAAATCCATGGGAATTACAACACAAATCTTATTTCTATAAGCTGCACAGCCTTCACAAAAAAGCTTATCTTGTACCACTCCAACTTCAAAAAATAAATTGCATGTAAATTTATCCCTCTGTTCAGGTCTGGAGATTACAGATTGAAGTGATGACTTTTGTCGGGCACATTCATCACTTGTCCTGTCAGTTTTGAAGCGAAGTCCACAGTAAACCTGTCCCTAAACGTTCAGAAGAGTTTACGTCGGAAATAAAGACAACACGTGGTTTGGTGTTGTATATTTCATTTCCTCTCACCTCTCCAGTAACGAGTATACAACTGTTATTTGATTGGACAATTGGGATTTTATTTTTCCAAATAATATCTTCTCATCGGCATTTTAAATTACATTTACAAGTGCAGAGTCACAGAATAAACGTTATGCTCCTCCTGCGAGTAGTCTTTTAATCGATCAAAAAATAACTCCCACTGCTTGTCCGTAATGGATTTAAATGACTGCTCCCTCTGATACCCGAGAAGGCAGCTTGAGGTCAATATAGGAAGAGCCATTCATATAACAACATTTGTCATAGCAATCAACAGACCCCATGGCTATTATTGCGTCATTATAGCACCATAATTAAGTGTCGATACTCGCTCTTTCTCTTTCTTACAACAATATCCATTTTCCTCATTGAATAACAAAGGTACTTTTCACACAATTAAAATAAAGTTATCAAGTACTTTTGCCTATTTCATATAAATTGAATCCTTTTTCAAAATACACAAACAATCTCATTCGTTTAAGTTGAAAGTGCTCATCTGAATTCGTTCAGTAACATGTAAACATACTTGTTGCCTATCTGGTCACGGCGAAGTCATATTCCAGTTTACTCCAAATATGCAGAGCAATAATCTGCAATGGCAACGAATAAAATACATATTAAAAGTAGCACTCCTCGAAAACGCTCAACATGACATTGCGATATCCCCGGAAGAAAATTCTGTACTAAATAGCCTAACTAGGTACAAATTGCGGAATTAATCCTTCAGAAGCTTGACAAATTACTGTCCATCATCATCTGTCGCTGTCAGCTACTGGTTGTCATGGTGACTCAAGTCACACAATAAAAGACGTCGTTAACAACCCTTTGTCATATGTGAACCATTCAAGTCACAGAGGAAAAAATTTGACACTGGTATGAGATGCCGTGAACACTCGACACTTGTTGGATATTTGAGATGGATAACACATCTAAAGAACTCGTTTTAGAAATTTTTGAAAAAAAGGGTTTTGACTTTTGATGTTCATTTCCATATTTGATAGTTATATGCTTATATTACGTTATACGATTACAAAGATGCTTACATTATCTAGATATATAGTCAGTTCGAGGATGAAAAAATATATCTGAAAAGAAATTGTTGCAGAATGAGACCCAATACGCATATCTAATACATGTATACTTACTTCTGGGAACCAAGGAACAATTCGAAATATAATATATTATATAAATATAATGCTAAATCACGCTTTTTTTCAATTAGAAACCGATAAGGAACAGGGATAGATAAAAAAAATTTCTACTGAAAAAAGAAGGGGTGTAGAACAAAAAATAACTCACTAAGCCAAAAAGTAGCGAATGGAAGAAAAATATACCTACCATATAAGCAGAAATTTTAGCAAAGATTCGATTTCGCATTTTTAGCAAGGGTGTTGCGATTGCTAAAATTCTTCTGTATTGTGGGTTACCATTATATTTATAGGTATCATAAAATCACTAAAACTATTTCTCGCTAAAGTTATATACCGATATTTAAGGGCATATGCGAATCGCTAAGAATTCCACTGATATGGTAATTATATGAATAAGTTAACACAGCCTGTTTTAACGGGATGTAATACTTCACATGATTACTTAAAGGTCGTTCTGTGTAGATTACCTATATGTATATTTTAAGGTAAAAAGGGGACATGATCATTTACATCTACTCTGGGGAGGAGAGACTGAATTTTCTATCGTACATTCAAGTTTTCTAGATGTCAGTGTAGAATCTGTGCAAAGCAAACAAGGATTTTTGTTGAAGAGTACTATAACATTGTACATGTAGATATATTTTGAGGCTCTGCATATGGTAAATATGGGTCTTCAACTAGCTAATTTTGAATTGACTGAGTATGTAAATGCAGAATATACAACATGATAACAGTTATTGTATTGTAAATTGTGCATTAACCTCCACTCAGTGAATTAAAAATTTACAATATATACTTAGCTACAAGCAGTACCAAGCTGTTGTAGATTGTACAGATATATCAGAGTATGGTGGATCATACAACATGTATAATAAATCTTATCTAAATTTCTTTTTAATGCTGTGTAAATTGAAGTTACTAATTGTGATGGAATTGATATTTACATCATTAATACGCGACCCCTCTTAGTGTACTAAGTTTAGGGTTTATGTCCTGTGAAAATGATTGGATAAATTGCTTGCAGTATGTATGCAGTTCACTACAATTTCCCAGTAAATGTGTTAATATATTCTCTCATTAACATATTTTATGAAATATAAACTTCCTAAGGAACTCAGTATTAATTTTTTCCCAATAGAAAGTGTGTCAGGGGTTTAAATTACAACAATATTTCCATTTCATAATTATTATTTGATAGCAGCTTATATTTGATTTACTAATAGAAATACAAAGATCAATGCTAATTTCTCTTCATTATATTGGAATACACTTGTATGATTTATGCTAAAAGAACCGGTATCTTTACAGCACAAAATAAATTTATTCTTAAGATGCCCAACATATGTCAAACTTGTTAGAATTTTGTGACCCATTGAAAATACACAAACGACTTTTAAATTTAACAGCTTTATGGAATCGCAGATCATATTTGTACTTTATTTTATTCTTCCATAATACTAGTATATAATAAGATAAATGTATGTCATATATAGCACATTACTGTAAATGTCTTCCAAAGACATATCGCTGAATCAACTTAAACAATAAATGGCGCAAATTCCTAAAGAGGTATATTGAGAGAAAAAATTATTTTTAACTACAACAATCTTAATCTACCTATATTGGTTTTAATAAAAGCTATAAATCAAAGCTTACTTTTATTTAAAAAGAAACTATACTAGTTCAAGTATTTAAGCAGCTTCCTTTGAACGACCCAGCTTTAGCAATCTATATTTATAACTCTATTAACTAACGTGTACGAGCGGAAACCTAGACATTGTTCAAAGAAAGTTTGACAGACCCACGTGAAATGAAATATGAAGATAATATAAAGAAATGTAATTAGTCAAGCAAGAAGTACATTGAAGCAATTCAAATTGTAAGCAGAGCAAAGACATACCTCTAAAAACATTAAAGGTAGGATCAGTTGTCATGGATGAGTAAGCATCCCCTGCCGACTGGTCACACAAGCTGTGCGCTCTTTGTCATGATTGGACATACGTTGAGAAATCCTAAGTCAATTCAGTTTGAAGATACAATGTAATGGCCTAACAATTCATTTGAAAGACGTCAGTCAACTTCGACCTAACGACAGATTATATTTGCAAACAAGGTCATAGGATCGAGGATAGAATTTGCAAAATATTTAACCCAAAAGAGATTGTAGATACCCTTATATCATCAACTTGTTTATCAGCAGCCTGCCTTGTTTTTAAAATTGTTCGTATGAAGAACACGCTCTTGCGTATTGAATCAACTGTGAGACATAAACTCCATACGCATGTGACGATGGTATATTGCTGTATAAATAAGGGAAGCTGACGATAGAAAAATTGAAGTCATCACGTTTATCATTAACTTTACTGTTTAGTTTGCCATTTATGTCTTTCTCTAAAATCTCCAAATGCAAAGCAGTTGTGACAGACTCCAGAAGTCTTATATTTTGAGTTCAGTGGGAGATATCTACGGAAGCCGGTAGGTGCCAGGTAGAAAAATATTTTATCTGGCGGCCGCCAGATAACTTTCTGGCGGCCGTGAAACCTATCTGGCGGCCGCCAGAAACTTATCTGGCGGCCGCCAGATAAAAAGATCTGGCGGCCTCCAGAAAGTTATTTGGCGGCCGCCAGATAAAATGTTTTTTCTACCTGGCACCAACCGGCTTCCGTAGATATCGAAATATTATACTTTCATGTAAATTAGTTGAATCTAATTCGTCGAGAAACATTTGTTAAAAACACTATTACCCGCTGAATGATGAAGCCACGCCCTCAAGGGTAGCAACAGTCAACATTGCTTGACGACGGGTGATATTCCAAAAAATAGTGACTGCGCAGAATTTATGCGCGCAAGGTTCAGTGTTATATGTATTTGTATAAAGCATTCAGTATAATATAATAAATATTGCACGTAGTTGAGTGTAACATTGAAAATTCGGTTGACCATGGTCTTCTTGGGGTGAAAATTTTCAATGTTACACTCAATTACATGCAATGTTTATATAATAACGTGTTAAAGAAAACAATTACTGTTTAAAGATAAAATGTCATCGAAATATCTAAGCTAAAAATACAAAATTGAATTATAACTACATTAAATCCATCTGACGTCTGTACAATGGCCTTATTAGTAATACAATCTATCATTAAGTACGTTTCTCGTACTAATCGTTCAGCCAATATTTTCATACTGAATTGTCGGATTTTTCCATTAACCCGATCATGACAAAGTACACACGCTGGGTAAGAAATATCGCCGAGTCAACAACAGGGAATGCTTACTCCTCCATGGCATCTGATCCCACTTCTGATGTTTTCAGGGATGCGTGTTTTGTGTTGTTTCATTGGACTTTTGAGCTTGTTTACTGTTCGTTATCTTCATATTTAATTGTACATTATAACAACAACAACAAAATATCCCAAAAGAATAAATCGCAAAGTAGACAAGTAGACATTCCCCATCCCATTTATTTTGTTTTATTTTATTTATTTATTTATTTTTTTGCTGTTTATTATTTTTTTTTTTGAAGACGATCACATCAATTTGGTTTTTCTAAGTTGAACGTATAGGCAATCTTCATAGCCTGTGACTCGCAAATAAAATCATTTTGCGAGTAATTATTTGTAGTAATATTGCTCTGTTACAACGCAAGATGTAATAAGGACACAAAATGTAATAATCTAACATAATTACATATTCTGTTTTTACATTTTGCGTCAAGATCAACACATAAAATAACGCAAACTGTAAAAGCAAACTTTTTGGATTATAACATAGTTATTGCATTTTACGTCGAGGTTCTTGCGAAATGCATTTAACGCAAAATTTATTAACACGCACTTTGAATTGTTACATTTTTTTGCGTCGAGATAAACCCAAAATGTAATCAAATACTTTACAAATATAATATTTAAATAAAGACATCTTTGTTGACTGATTTAAATCATGTTTCAAAATCAAAAACAGTCTAAGTAGGACGTTCGCCTCGTGATCGGGACGCCAAGATTCGATTCTCGTTCACCGCGCCGCGTCAAACCTCAGACGTTAATATAGGTTGTAACTGTTATTTGCCAAGCATTAGAAGTGAAAGTCAG